AGAAATCTCTGTGAAGCCTCTTCACCCCTCTTGTGCCTCAAAATGTGGTGTCCAGCTTGGAGCCTGGGGTCTGTTTGGGGTGGCTGTGTCCCAAAGCCTGTCGAGGCTGTCTGGCTGCAAGAGGAGGGCTGAGACCCTGCTGAAAGGCTTTGCCTTGACCTCTGCAGCCATTTCCTCCTCCTCCTGAAAAGGGAGGTTTTCCCTTTGTGGGAACCCCCTCTGAGGACATCCCTGAGGTTTTACAGTGCTCAGCAGGGCTGGAGTGGGAGCCCAGGGGCTCAGTGCTCCCATGGGGGGTTTTGTGGGGAGGAAGTAAAACAAAGTGCAAAGGCAATTTATCTCTGTCCTGGCCATTTGTCTGCCCCTCACACTGAGGCCAAACTTCATCCCTGGGTGCTGTGGAGCCCTGAGAGGAGCTGGCTCTGTGTCTGGCCAGGAATGGGGCTCTCCCTCCCTCTTCAGCCTCCATCACCCCATTCCCACACTGCTGATCCCAGTGAGAGAAATGATTTATTACTGGGAAATGGTGCTGTGGGAGGTGGTGCCCTCGTGGGAGCCCTGCAGCATCTCCCTGCCATGCTCACCACGACAGCAGCCCTGAAAAGAAAAGAGAAGCTTCTCAGCCACCAGCATGATTTGATGACTTTTAATAACCCTTCATTTTTTGTTGCTAAAGACAGGCCAGCCCCAGTCCTCCAAACCCTTATCCTGTTTCCATGTAAACACAGCAGAGGTGCTTGCTAAGGGACACCAAAAAACCCCACTCTTCCTCTGTTTGTACACACAGTGGGAAAATGTGTATAATTGCAAAGAATTGAAAGAAAATCCCTTTCCTGGAGAAGCTTGAGCAGGTTGGTGTTTTGGGCATCACTGAGCAGAGTGCTGGGGATGCTCTGGTGGCCCAGGGCTGAGCCATGGGGGTCCCACCCTGCTGGAGGTCCCTGTGCTGCCGTTCTGCTCTCCCTGGATCTCTCCATTGCTCCCCTGGCTCTGGCACAAGTGTCTCACCAGGGAGGAATGTGTCCTACTCCCTGGCCAGAACACCCACCTCAGAGCTGCCAGGGCAGGAGAAGTTAGGGGTTTTTTTTATTTGAATTGGTTAAAAATGTATTTTTCATGTGGAGCTGTATCATCAGAGTGTTTGCCTTTGAGGGTGGGTGCAGCCTCTGCCCCGTTGTTTGCTCTCCCCATCCCCTCCTCCCATCTCTGGCAGCGCTGACAAACCTCACATCTCATCCAGGGTGTTTCTTGCAGGTTGTAATAATTCACCTGAGGCTCCATTTTCTTCATGCAGAAAAGCCAATTCTTCATTCCCATAACTCATTCCACGCAGTTTTCACAGACCTCACGTGCAGCACCGATTGGCTCAGAGTTTTCTTGTTGGTCAGAAGCTGATCTGTGTGTACGTGCTAAGATTCAGGTGTTTACATTTTTCCTTTGTGGATTCTCGTGGGACAAGATCTATTTATACAGGTGCCCTTATTTTTCTCCCCAAGAACAGGTTGTCGTGTCAACGAACTTTTCATACCCAGGATTGTTTCATGTGGGAACTTGGAAGTTATCTGCACTTAGAAGAAGTGACAGGCCTGGTTTCATAAGGCCTTTATTTTATAACACCTTTGGGAAAATCCCATTGTGTTTATTAAGCACGTATTTTAAAAAAATAGTTTTAAAAGGAATTAAAAATTAGGTGTTTATCTCATTTTGTGGAATCCCAGAATGGTTTGGGTTGAAAGGGATCGAGGGATGCAACCTGCTCCATCTGGTCACTCATTTCTGCAAGTTCACAATTTCTGCCCATTCTCTCAGAATGAATACATGGATTTAGGGTGTTTTTAGGGTGCTTTGATTCACAAGAAATTCCCTTTCAGGTCTGATATCCAAGAGCTGGGCTTGCTCTAGGGCCTGGGAAGTCTGTTGTATTCTTACCTCTTGCATCTCTCTACCATTCTATAGCCTGTGAAGTTGGAGCTGGTTTCCTTTGAGGGTCAGTAACAGAAAATGATATAAAAAAGGATAAAAAAAAAGCTGATAATTTTGATAGATCTAAAAAATATTGCTTTAACATCTACTGCTCAAATCAGGCAGAGTGCTCTGGTTGGCTTCCAGCAGAGAGACATGAGCGTCGTGTTGGTATTTTTAAAGCTTTATGTGCAAGACATCAGTTGGTGTTGCCAAACTCTGATTTAAATTTATACATCCTGGCCCAGCCTGTTTGTTTAAAAAAGAAAAAAAAAAAAAGAAAATCCACCCCCAGCATAACAAATTCAGTATCTTTTCCTTATTGCAAATTTGTTGGCATCAGATGTCGTGATCTGCACAGTGTAGTTATTGTCTCTTTATCTGATCCATTGACTAATTCAACATTATTGTTTCAATAATATTATTTCAGGCCAGGTAACACACTCGGGTTACCTCTGTGATGACACAAAACATGGCACAGCTTCCAGTGAGTCACAGCTCCACAGAGTGTGCAAATAAATAACAGGAATGGTGAAAAATAACCCGGATCCTGTATTTTTAGCAGTGGGGTGCGATGCTGGTGACACATGAGGAGCTGGGGGCAGGAAGGGTGGTGGGTGCTGGTGGCTGGGAGCCCCAGGATGTGGCTCAGAGGTTGGGCAGGGACACAGGGAGTCGCTCCTTGACAGCTCCTTGCCCTTTTCCAGGGAGGTGGGAGAGTCCTGGGGGCACCTTGGGGTGCCAGGGCTGGAGGATGCTCTGCGCCCACCCACGGCCCTGGGGGGCTGATCTGGGTGGGCAGCACGGGGAAGGGGAGATGGGAGAGGCTCTGAAATTCTGGGAGAGGCTCTGAAATTCTGGGAGAGGCTCTGAAATGCTGAGGGAGGCTCTGAAATGCTGAGGGAGGCTCTGTGGGATGGGGCTGGCACAGCCCCTCCGTGCTGGGGCTGCTCTCGGCTCTCCTCAGTGTCGGTGCCCTCGCTGCTGTGAGGGATGTGAGGAGCAGCCTGGCTTCCAGGATTTAGAGGTGCAGGGAAGGAGAGGATTGCTCCTGTTCACAGAGCAGGGCACTCCTCACTGAGGCCTCTTCCCAATGCAGGGATTTGAGGGATAATGAATTGATGAGCCCCTGACGGGCAGAGCAGCCCCAGCATCACCCTGAGTTCCTGGGCAGGGCTGGAGAACATGAAATAACCAATTCTGGGCTACTCTCTGCTTGCATTTTTAGAATAATTGCTATAAACATTCCTGGGATTTTTTTTTTAAAGAACCACAACAGCCATTTATATATTTAACAATATATATTTATATATATATATAATTTCTAGATCAGTACATTCATCAGTACTTGCTTTTCTTCACAAACAGAAGAACTCTTACAATAGTAGACTTTCTAAAATAAATACTATTAAAATAGAGCTTCAAAATAAATATTCTATACAAAGAAAAACCTTCTGTGGTAACTTTTCAGGGGGTACATGTGAGGGCAGGGTAAGAGGAGGTGGGGGAAATATTTCTCAGGGTGTCTGAGCATGGGAGGGGAAGGGAATACCCAGTGCTGGGAAGGGTGGGGACCTGCTCCTGGCACTGGCTGGGCACGGGCACGGGGCAGTGGTGACGGTGTCTTTGTCTCTTGGGGCCGCTCTGCTCCCGCTGGGAATGCGGTGTGGCACTGCCAGCACCCTCAGCTCCCCCCTTCCTGCTGGCTGGGCCATGGTGTGAGGGCAGGGGCAAACCCTGGCATGAACTTGCTGCAGCAATTAGCAGGGCTGCAGCAATTAGCAGAGCCCTGCCATCCTCCTCCTGCAGAGCATGGCACCTGTCCCAGGGGTGGCTGCCCTGCCCTCCTGCCCCCATGGCCATCCCAGAGGTTGTGCTCGTTGGCCACTGTCCCTTCGTTAGCAGGGGCTGTGACCTGTGAGGGGCTGGGACACGGTGACAGGGTCACTCAGTGACAGGGTCACACAGTGACAGGGTCACAGGGTAGTGACAGGGTCACACGGTGGTGACAGGGTCATACAGTGACAGGGTCACACGGTGACAGGGTCTCTCAGTGACAGGGTCACACAGTGACAAGGTCACAGTGACAGGGTCACACAGTGACAGGGTCACTCGGTGACAGGGTCACAGGGTAGTGACAGGGTCACTCAGTGACAGGGTCACACGGTGACAGGGTCACACGGTGGTGACAGGGTCACTCAGTGACAGGGTCACTCGGTGACAGGGTCACAGTGACAGGGTCACACAGTGACAGGGTCACACGGTGGTGACAGGGTCACACAGTGACAGGGTCACTCAGTGACAGGGTCACACAGTGACAAGGTCACAGTGACAGGGTCACACAGTGACAGGGTCACACGGTGGTGACAGGGTCACACGGTGACAGGGTCACACAGTGACAGGGTCACACAGTGACAGGGTCACTCGGTGACAGGGTCACAGGGTGGTGACAGGGTCACACGGTGACAGGGTCACTCAGTGACAGGACACCGTGCCCGTGTGCAGCTCTGGGCTGGCAGGAGCCCCAAGTACCTTCAAAGGGAATGTGGGATGGAATTGTTGGGATGGGGAAAAGCGGGAACACCGACGTTATCGATGGAGCTGCTCCCTCTGGCAGAGCCCTGGTCCTTCCCCAGCTCCAGCCAGGGCTCTGCAGCTCCCTGGCCTGCCCTGGGCTGGGAGCTGCCGAGGGAGCAGGGAGGGTCACTGCTACACTGACCACTGCTCTAACACATCCACAACGCCCGACAGGCTCCAGCACGGCATCATCGCCTTACAGGGCTTAGGTACTGAAACAAACCAACAGAGAAATAGTTTACAGCTATGTACAATGAGAGGAAACCCGGCTGGGATTGCTGGGAGCGTGTACATGAGTGTAGGTTGGCACAGGGACCACCATTCCAGCGGTGCCTTTGCTCACAGGGACCAGGCACCGAGCCGTGGGCTCTGCCATTGAGGGTTTTCAGCACAGATTCACCAGGGACAGAGGCTCAAAAAGGCAAAGCAGCCGTGGGTGGAGGCCATTTGGACATGTGTGCTCCCAACAGAGGAGGGCAGCAAGGAAATCCTCTCCTGCTGCCTTTTCTAGCTTGCCTGTATCTTAGGAAAATGATTTCTCTTATTAAATACATCTTATACATTCAACCAACAGTTCCACCAGTTTGGGGTCGGTTTTCCTTTTATCTTTTCCCCTCAGATTTGTGCAGGATAATAAATACAGCTCTGGATCCCCACCTGCTTCCTGGTGCCCACACACGAGGCTACCCTAGAGGAGCTGGTATCTGGTAACAGACAGTACATCCTTTTTTCTGTGATTCAGCATGTACATGCTAGCAAATGTTATAAATAGAAAAGTTTGTTGGTTTTTTTTTTAACTCCCCCATTCAATAAATATCTACAATTCAACTGAGCTAAACCCCAAGTCATCCAGCTGAGCTGAGTTCTGAAACTCAAAGACACCAGAGTCCCATCAGGATGTTCCTGCCAGCCCCGACCCGCGGCTGTGTCGCAGCCAGGCCAACGGCATTCCTGGAAATGCTACATGAGCTCTGCCTATTGCTTATCTAATTAGAGATGACATTTCACTGTCACTGCTGTGCATTTACTGAGGAAATCTCCTCTCATTAAAAACACCAAGAGACACTAGGTCAGTTTTCTGCATGCAACAAGTACCTACCTAGTCATTAGAGTGTTGCATGTTTGGACCAAGGTTCTTGTTTAGCACCTTGTAGTTGTCAAGAGAGAGGGGTTACAACATCCTGGGGAAAGCAGAACCAGCCCCAGGATGAGTGCAAGGACAGAGCCAATATTTGTGTGCTGAAAACCACGGGCCCACTCGTCAACTATGCTCTCCTCCTTCCCCTGGCTTTCCCTAGTGTGTGTTAACACTAAAATAAACACTAAAAGCATTCTTTACACTTAAAAAGACACTTTTGTACAGAAGAGGCAAAAGTCAAACAGCAGCAATAGGGGTGGGGGAATGTGCTGTACTTCAAGCAAATGCCATTCACCCCCAAGACAAAAACAAATCTTAATATTTAATGAGCAAAGAGGAGCTTGTTCCAGGAGGGGAGGAGGTACTGGATTGAGATCCCTAGAAAAATACATCTATGTGCATCGTACACTTGGGGCTGTGTGACTTCTTACCGGAGGTTTAGAGAAACAAACCCCACCCTTGAGTTGCGTCCCCTCTGCTCGTGGAGTGAGCGAGGGCCTGGGGGAAACGGGATCGGCCTCCATCCTCCCGCAGCGGGGCTGTCCTGCTGATGGAAAATTCATATTCCACGGAGTGAAACCTGATGCCACGGATCAGCTTACAGGCAGGAGAACCCGCTGTTGACACAACTGCCCGAACACATCCTGCTGCAATTCCTCCTGGGAGGAGCGGCCCTGCTACCATCTTGCTTTAGAAAGGGGTTCCAAACCAGTGGGGCCGGGTGGGAAACGCCCAAAGGGCAAAAGAGCCTTCAGCAAATGAAATGTAGCTTCACTTCTGCTCCAAAAATCTCTGAGGGACGCAGAAAGCTTTTGGGAAACACGTACTCTGTGTGCAACCAGCCCTTGGAGTGGTGTCTAGGAGGGAAGGAGGGTGGAGAGAGTTCCCCCATCACCTTCAACAGGCTGCGGGGAGCGAGCTGGGGTTTGGAAGGAGACAGGAAACAAGTAGCCCGCCCTGAATCCGAATTCAAAGCAGCTTTTTGCAGCTGGGGATGGGGATTGGTTGTGAGGCGGTGCCTGCCAAGCGAGCAGTTAATGGTTCCTGTGGTGTGCAGGCCTGGTGAGCAGCCGTCCGTCCAAGCCGGGAGTTTTCCAGCAGCTGTACTTCATGATGTACACGGCTTTGCAGCCTTCACTCTGCATTATTAACATTCCTCCTTTGGCCCCATCTACTCAAACTGCGACCAGTTCCAAAAACCCTGAATAACCCAAAGTGCTTCAGTTTGTGGAAATAGTTGCTTCTGCTTTCTCCGAAGGCAAGAGGCTAACGCTCTCCTCAGAACACAGGTTATTAAAAAGAGCCACCACCACCCTGCTCCGCGGAGCATCCTCCCAACTCCGTCCTCCCAGACCGTTTTAAAAGGGCTTTTCTGCCCCTTTGCTCTCGGGCAATGCCTTGCAAATGACACTGTTTGTGTTTTTGCATCTGCATCCGGGCCGGCTCACTTGGTCGTAGCATCTCTGGGACAGCTTGACGCAGCCGGTGGCGGGCAGGTAGCAGAGCAGGCAGGGCAGCACCAGGGACAGGGCGCTCATGAAGGACCAGCGGGCGCAGCAGTTGGAGTGGGAGCAGGAGCAGGGGTGGTCGGCACAGGTGCCCTCGTCGTCCTCGTTGGTGCAGTGGTAGAAGACGCCCTTGACCAGGCACATGCAGGTGGAGTAGTTGACCAGGTTCTGCGCCGAGCACAGACACTCCTGGTTGCACACCCAGCACGACGGCAGAGTCCGGGGCAGGGCGCACTCCTTGCACTTGCATTTGCCACAGGCCTCGCACAGCAGGAAGTGCTTGTCCAGCTCCTGGGGCGCGGGGCCCTTCAGCTCCAGGGGTTTGCAGTTGATGGCCTTGGGCTGGATGCGAACGGCGCGGGGGGACGATTGCTCTGCCACGGGCACCGGGGCCATGTGGTCCAGCAGCCTTTGGTCTGAGGATGTGCTGCTGCTGCTGCTGATGGAGCTGGGGCGCCCGCTGAAGGAGATCCAGGGGTGGGTGACATCCTGCTCGCAGCGCTGCGGGTGCTGGCTGCCCAAGCCCAGCTCCTGGGGGGCGCGGGGGCGCTTCTGGGCTGGCGGCTGGGAGGCGCTGGGGTTGTCGGTGTAGTCGTTCTCGATGTGGGTGGTCTTCATCTGGTCGATGGGCAGGATGGTCAGCGGGTGCTGCAGCCGCCCGTACGGGATCCGACTGTCCAGCAAGGGCTGCACCATCACAGAGTTGGGGACGACGGTGATGTTGTGAGGAATCCGGGGCTCCATGGAGAAATCAGTCTGACTACCGGGGGAAAATCTGTGCTCAAGTGTCCTGGGAGAAGGGAAGGGGAAAGAAAAGGGATGAGGGGGAAAGAGAGAGAGTGTGTCATTATTGCAGGATCCTGCAGGCCAGAAGGGCTCCTTTCTGGGGCTGGTTGCTACGCTGAAGGTCCTGTACGGTAAATTTGTGTCTGAGGGAGGCAGAGCACTCAGGTACAAAGTGCCTCACTCCTCCTTTGCTGTCCTCCTCCCTGACCTTGGCCATCTATAGCCCCTCCAGCCCCGGGAGGGCTGCGGTCACTGCAGGCTCCTGAAGAGCCCACTCATGGTTTCACGGAGGGAAAGCACATCCTGGGGCTACCGGTGTATATTCGCATGTGGTTTTGTCAGCAAACTTCCTGAAATGACTTCTCCAAACTTTGGAGGTTTCCCCCAGTTGACTCAGATCCCTAAAAAGCCTGACTCAGGACTGTGGCCTGCTACAAAGGTGCTTCAGAGTGTGGGGCTGAGCACCTGTCCTGGCTAACCAAGGACCTGCCTCCGGCAGGACAGCCTGATTTTGGTGAGGAGGTGTCCCCTCTCCATCAGGAGCCGCTGGTTCCAAAGGCTCCTTTATTCCTCCCACGGGAGGGGAAGCGCTCGCTCAGCCCCTTGTCTGGTGCCAGAGCAGGGTGGGAGCCCGGGGTGCAGCTCCCAGGAGAGCACCCACAGGGCTCAGACTGGCTCCATCCCCTCACACAGGTGACACTGTGTTACCTGTGTGACACACACACTGCTGCAGCCCACGGAGCGCACTGAGATCCCGCCGAAGCGCTGTTTACCAGCCGCTCTGGCTGAGCCGTCACTGCCGCAGTTTCTAATTTCATTGAAAGAGTGCAATTTATCCTGGAGTCAATCCAAAGATTCAGCAGTGGCGTAGGACAAGAAACCACAGGAAGTAACTAAACTTAAATCAAAGAACGGAAACGACTCGGTTCAAATTTAGAAAGTGCACATTGTTTTCTAGTAGATGTGCCATTTCCTCACGGGGTGACCTTTATTCATAAATAAAATAATGCTGGAGATCAGTTGAAAGAAGGCGTGAGTAAAGCTTCGGTCGCAGGAGGGGAAAAGCTGCTGGTATCAAGAAAAAGGAAGTCGTGAACAGCCTAAGGCATTGCCAGTTGTTTGTGTTCAACAAACAAATTAACCTTCTCCAACAGCGTGAAAGGTTTGGACTTGGCAGCGCTGGTTTAACAGCTGGGCTCGATGATCCTAAAGGCCTTTTCCAACCTAAATGCTTCGGTGATTCTATGACTTTAATATCACAGCAGTGGGAAAAAGGAAAAAACTGCATCCAACTTCAACCAAATAAAGTGTGAGAAGTGTTTGTGTAACGGTGTGGGCACCTCTGCAAGAGCCCACCTCCCCTGAAATGAACGCAACACCTCAGAAATGGGAGAGAGAACTGATTCTGCGTTCTTGGAAGAAGAAAGGATAAGTCCATCTTTACCCCCTGAGAAATGCCACCAGAGCCCACTCTTGCATTTGTAAATCGTTGCTTTGATGGATCACTTGGCATTTGGGGTTGGAAGAGTTCCAGTTCTCCCGGGATCAGCAGGAGGGAGCGTGGGCAGATCGGCACATGCCGGGTCCGGCACCGCATCCGGGCCCCCTTTGTCCCCTGCACCACACCAGCAGGAAGAAATGCTTTATTAGCAGTAATGATGATTATTGTCATGCAGCCCTTATGCTGCTTCTCTTCCCCAGTTAAAATTCTCTGCTGGATCTTAGCCATTCACTTGGATTTTTTTTTAAATTTTGTTTCATTATTCATAGTTCATTGACATCCTGACTGGAGGAACAAGAGAGTTTATAAAGCATCTCTTCCTAGTTACTGTACGTAAAAAACAAAGAGAAGCAATGATTCTGACAACTGTGGGGCGTGCAGAGGGAAAAGAACTTGATTTTCTTTTGTGCATCAGAATCCAATGTCATGATATAAAAAGTACTTGCTGCAAGTCAGAGTTTAGCAAAATCATCAGTTCTGTATCGGCTGCGTGTTACATTTGCAGGGAGACTTAGATTCCGCTGGGTTTTTTTGTTTTGTTTTTGTTTTTTTAAGGAGAGAGATGCAGCTGTTTTGGCTGCCAAGAGTAAGTGCAGCAGAGCTGATCTTAGATGGAAGGTAGCTGGAGGAAATGGTGGCAGGGCTGCAGGGTGTTAGAGCCTGTCTGCTCCTCCTCAGCCCAGCCTTGCTGGCCTCTCCAGGGCTCTCTGCTCTCTCCCACTCCTTACCAGCTCCCAGGAATCTGCTGCATTCACCACATTCCCACCGGATCCGTGGAGAAGCATTTATTGTAATTATTTAATTGATTTTAATTATTGACCCTGCGTGCCAGCACGTGTGCGGAGCGGAGCTGGTGCTGCCTGTCCCCAGCACCAGGGTGGCACATCCAGGGTGCTCTGCAGCGCTGGTGGCACCGGCTGGGAGCCCCTGGAGGTGGCACTCGGGCTTTAGATGGACCCTGCAGTGCCCCAGGGCTGGTGATGCCACCACACAGAAACGGTGTCACCACATTAATTTGGGGAAGGATTAGAGCCAGGCCGCTCCTAAAACACCCCCGTGCACAGACAGGGCCTCATGCAGGCAGATGTCAAAGATGGCTTATCTGAGATAATGCTAATCAAGATTTCAGTTAATTACCACTGAAAGGAGGGGGACCCTGGACTAAACACCACACGGCAGGAGAGTTGATGGTAGAAGTTTTCCATCCTCTTTTTTTTCACTGCAATACAGTTTCGAATTGCCTTTTTAATAAATAGACAAACTATTTCTGCAGGACAAGGGGAAGGGAAGCCTGACATGGTGATCTCAAAGACCCTGCAGATATCAGCATCTATGTGGATAAAACCTGTGAAGGGAAAACAACCAAATGAGACCCAGCTCTCCCAATTGCCAGAGCCCTGCTCTGGAGACCACCTCTAAACCACCTCAGATGTGCATCCTGTCAGGGTTTGGTCCTTCATTCCCTGCCCTCTCTCTCCTGGGCAGAGGGGTTCCACACTCAGCTGCTCTCCCCTTTCATGCCACTCTTAATGTTTCTGATATTTCTGGAATTTTCCAAGGACCATGACTGCATTGCTGCTGCTGGCCTTGTCACCAGAGGTTCCAGCAGTGCAGGGGGATTGCTGGTGACAGATCCAGGTCAAACACCTCGAGTGCTGAGCTGGGAGGGAGCTGGGTGCTGCCAGGAGGCTCCTCTCCCCTGGGTGACAGCCTTGGCAATGTCTCACAGCTCCAGGGTTTGTCTGTGTGCTCTGAGCACCTTTCCCTCTGCTGCTGCTCCCAGGGCAGGGGAGGTTTCTGTGTGGGCACACAGTGCAAAGAGGAGCCCAGCCCAGCGCTGGGGCTGAGGATTTGTGCTGGGGGAAATCGTGAGCCACACTGCTCCTGTGCCTGCCTGGATGCCTGATGGGACCCTGGGACTTCCCTGGGTGATGCTCCAAGACATCACAACCTGACCTGTTGTGGTTGATGTGTGCCCAGAGGCAGGGCAGCATTTCCTTCACCTCCCCCAAAACCCACCCCACACCAGGGGTGTTGCTCTCAAGGAGAGCAGTGCCTTCAGCAGCAACACTGGGATCATAAACTGAATTTATAAAGCTTATCCCAGCCAGATCCCACATCAAAATTAATGTTTGGGGTAACCTGGCAGAACTTTAGACCTTGAAAGAGGACAAGAGCTGAGGGGGGTAACCTTAGGGCTCTTTGTTGTCCACTGCACTAATCCTGACTGCAAATTGCATTTCAATAGAGGAAAAAAAAGCCATACAGCACACAAAATTAATTAATTTTTGTTCATAGGTAATTACAGATATATTACAGCATTAACACAGGCACAAATTCACTGGTGGCAACTGTACAGATAATTTTCTTAAAGTAGACAACAGGAAAAAAAATTCATGACTTTGTTCTTACATAGGGCATTTTTCATTCTTTACAGGCAAACAATGAAGTTCTTTTCAAGGCAGCAAACTCCCATGTAGAGAAAAATCTCTCTTCCCCCATGACTGTGGAGTCACTCACCACATACAATTTTCAAGTCAAAATATACTTCCTTCCAAGGGAGTAAAATTGGACTCAAAAGTCAAGTTCATACACGTGTTGCAGTGTTTGTTCCATCTCTTCATCAAGATATGGCCAATTTAAAATTACTGTTGTACTGGGTAATTCCAAGTCCTAAAGTTGTAGGAAACCAGCTGTTATTGTAAAGTGTTTTGGTATTATTTCAGATTCAGAAGTTTTGTAGGATTTTGAAATCAGATGAAATTAAAACAAAAGGCATTTTGTGTTTAATAGGATTTTGGATTTGCCTACATCACTTTAGAGAAAGCTATGTCCTTGTAGGCAGTTCCATGAGAAAGTCATGTAAACCCTCAGGAAAACTCATTAATCTTCAGAACATTAGTCTTCAGAACAAGTTTTGAAATAATAAGGTTCTAATATCTTTATTTTCAGAGTGGTGTTGGACAGCAAATCTTCCAGTTACTGAAAAACAAAATGGATCTTGACTTAAACATCCAGTGAGCACAGAAATATGTAATGCTCATAACTGAGTCACCCACTGGTTAATAATTTTAATAAGTTCTTTCTCACATGTTTAACATTAATTCTAGATGTTTGTGGTAATAAAAGAATAACAAGAATAATTAAGTCTAGAGGAGGGTCCCATGTGGAAGCAATCCTGGACAACCTGGGACTGCCACATCCCCACTGCAGTCAGCAGGAAAATGGGAAAAGCTGCCAGGAGCTCCTCCTCTGCTGCCAGCATCAGGTACAAGGTCCCACAGCTTTGCCCCAGCCTTTTTGGACAGGAGCTGCTGCCATGGAAATGTCTAAAGGGAATCTCAAATGTCACAGAAAACCAAAAAGGCCCAAAGGTGCAGCTGGGGCTGTGTTTGCTGAGAGAACCCTGGGGTGGGCAGGGGCAGCCCCCAAACCCTTCTGTCCTTTGTCAGCTGCGTGCACCAGATCAGGGGCCTCTTATCTCTCCCTAATTAACGACACCTTAATTGCACCTCACGAGCAGCCTGGCCCTTCTGTTGTGTCTGCCAGCCTCAGCAAACTGAGATTTCTGCTGGCACTGGATTGTCCTCCCCAGGTCCTGTGACACCGCTGGTGGCTCCTTTCTGGAGCCTGGGCTGTGCCCTGGGACATCAGGGAGCTGCTGAACCTTTGCCAGGGGCTGCTGGCCACCTCTAGGACCATTACATTTATTAGAAATCTTCTAAATCCAAATTGTAATGGTGCTGGGGGCATGGAGAGCACTGGTGCACAAAAAGCCGCCCTCCTGTAATAGAATGGATGAGGTTGGAAAAGACCTTTAGGATTGTCAAGTCCAGCTGTAAATAGAATAAAGCAAATTTGATACTTCAACATGAATTTTCAACCACAGGTTTCCAAGAATGTTCCAACTATTGAAGCATCACAAGCTTTTGTGAAGAAGGGATGGAGAAATTGCTGTGGATTGATGAAAGGCTGGGCCCTGCACTGGGACTGGGTGGGAGCTGAGCTGCTCATTTGGGGATGTGCTTTGGGTCACACCAGACACCTCTGAACCTGAACCTGCACAGGGATCACACCTTCTCTTGGTTACTGACATTAGACCTGCATTAGATTTAATTTTAGGAAGGAATTGTTCCCTGGGAAGGTGGGGAGGCCTCCAGGGTGCCCAGAGCAGCTGGGGCTGTCCTGGATCCCTGGCAGTGCCCAAGGCCAGGCTGGACAGGGCTTGGAGCACCTGGGACAGTGGGAGGTGTCCCTGCCATGGCTGGGGTGGAATGAGATGGGCTTTAAGGTCCTTTCCAACTCAATCCATGCTGTGACTCCATTATCAAAGCAAAAGCTGAATTAGTCTGTGGAAGAGCTGTGACAGTCACTCATTAACACTGACACAGAGGCAGCAATAGGTGCAGTGAATGCACTGCAGAAATCTGGTTTATTTTCTTTGCTGTATGGGACACACAGATTTCTGAAAATACAGTGCAAGAAGAAGAAAACAAGAAAAACATGGAATATTTAGTCCTAATACAGGAAATGATCATAATTGAAAGCAACACACTTGGAAGCAGTTTCATGCCAGGGGTGGGGAGATGCTCTGCAAGGCCTGTGCAAGGCAACAGAGCTCAGAATCGATGGCAGCCAGGGCCAGATCTGATCTGACAGAACAGCCTGGCTCCTCTGGTGCCCTGGTTAAACAGCTCCTCTGCAGGTGCTGGGCTGAGGGACAGGACAGGGATGGAGAGGGGACAGGACAGGGATGCAGAGGGGACAGGACAGGGATGGAGAGGGGACAGGACAGGGATGGAGAGGGGACAGGACAGGGATGCAGAGGGGACAGGACAGGGATGCAGAGGGGACAGGACAGGGATGCAGAGGGGACAGGAGAGGGATGGACAGGGGACAGAGCAGGGATGCAGAGGGGACAGGACAGGGATGGAGAGGGGACAGGACAGGGACGCAGAGGGGACAGGACAGGGACGCAGAGTGGCACAACAGGGGTCACTCCCATCCAAGTGATCAATAAAGGATTTGCTCCCCAAGGCCCAGCAGAGGAGGAGCTGCAGAAAAGGGAACAAATTCTGCCCCTGCCTTTGTCTGGGGTTAAGGACATCCTCTTGTCCAGGCCTGCCAGCAGTGACAAGGGACACACTGCTCCTGGTGCAAGCCAAAGGGTTCAATTAAAGCTTTTAATGAGGAAGACTACACTCAGAGGTAGTTAAAGGAGACCTTGCAGCAAGCACATGTTTTTAATGTGGGATTAAGAATAATTCATAAGGCTGGAGTTCATTAAGACTGAGTTCGGCTGTCTGGATTTTGAGTTGAGCTGTAAATGCTTCAAAAAAAGGGAAAAAACACAGATTTTTTTTCCTAAAGTGTGTATTAATATTAACAAAATATTGACATTCACTCTTTTTATTCCCCCTCCTTAGCAGCCTTATCTAGCTAAGGCCAGCTAGAATCTTCTCTACAAGTAACAAGGCAGGAAAAAAAATTAGAAAGCTTATTAGGGAAACCTGCCATTTTTAAAATGAGACACTAAATTCTTGCCAGAGCATGGAAATTCAGGAGCTGGGAAATGAGACCTGTAGACTTCCAAGAAGCTGTCTCTGTCCAGCTAAAGTCTGTTCCTATGGTGCGAGTGAATAAAGCACATTTTGGCCCACTGGCATTCAGATCTCTGGAGACTTGAATTTCTCAGTCAAAGCCTTTAACTGGACAAAAACATTTATTTTAAGGTCAGAAAACTAAGCTCAGATATGATCTGTTAAGCTAATGGCAGTAAATGATAACCTCATTAGAAGGATTGCAGATTTTCTTGGGGAAATACATTGTATTGCATTGAAAAAGGATAAAAAAACAACACTTGTGCAACTGTTTGCCTATAAAAACACAGATTTTACTACTGGGCTGAAGCTGGGAAGTTGTACAGGATTGTGATGAATGAATTCTTTTCTCTCACATTTAATTTTTTGAAAACTGTCAGAAGTGGTTATTAATTATTGCTGTAGCGTTATAAGGGCTGGGAATTTGATTTCACCGAAGTCTGAGAACAGAATCTTTTTTTGGGGGGGTAGGAATTGCTTTTTGAGACCTTGCATTTCCCAGTACGATCTAGGAATTAGTCATGATTCCAGGAAAACAGCTTTTGTTTTGCTGTTTCAGGAGGAGAACAAGTAATTTCTCCCCTGCACATACCTCATGGAGAATTTCAAAGGGACTGCAGTATTCAGAAATGGTCCTTTTAATTTTATAATCCCAATATAGAGTCCCTTCCAGCAAGGGAAAACACAGCAGCCCATGGAAAAGGGCACATTTATCAACGAGACATCCCCAGTGGGGTTCCAATAACTGAGAACAACCCCTCCTCCTGCTATCATTCATTTTTATATGGACAAGGGGGAAGCCAGTCATCGGGATCATTGTGATTCCGTGCACAAATTGGAGCTTTCTTCTTTAACCCAAAATAAAGGCAGAGAGGGGAAGCTTTAATATTGGGAAAGCTGCGTTTCTCTTCAGCTAATTAAACAGCAATTCCTTGCCATGCTGTCCCCTTGGCATGGCATGGAGGAAAGGCAGCAGCTGGAGAAGTTTTAAAGAATCTAGAACGTGCTTTTTCCACTCTGGATAATGCAGGGATGCTTTTCCTTTTCTCTTTCGTTCCCTCCTTCTCCCTTTAATGAAAAACTTGGGGCCATAAAAGCCTGAAATGAAGAAATCAGACCCTTGGTAACTGGAGGTAAAACAGGGAAGCCTTTTCCCCTGTGATATTCCTTTGCACTGCCATTTCCAAGGTCTGCATTCCCAGTCCTGCTTTCCTCTAAGACCTTTGTGCCTTTTCTATGCCCCTTTCTGCTTTTTCCATTCCCCTCCTGATAATGAATTTTCAGAACATGTCGTCTCTAGGCTTGTCTTTCTCCTGTGACGCCAGGACTGGTACCACAAAATAAAATCCTGGCTTATCTTTGCTACGCAGTTGGTAGAAAGGAGCAGCCAGCACAGGTTTTTCCTCCATATAGAAAATATTTCATATATTGGATGAAGTTATTCCAGGTACACATTTTTATTACTCGTCTAGCTTTTGAAATACAGCATCCATCCAGATTTAAAACAAGTGTACAGCAAGACAGGGGAGAACAGTGATGGAAAAAGGCACTGAGGCCAAAAAAAATGAAAAAAAGACCAGCATGAAATAAAATGCTGAAGAGCAAAGGTCATGCAGGAAAGGTCTGACACACGAGTGGCTGATTTCTGAAGTGTCCTATTATGGAGACAGCTAAAAACTACTTGACACTCACAAGACAGGGCTTTGGAAAAGAGAGGAAATGCGGATAATCCATTCCAAAGCAAGAAAGATCCAATTCTGACTTGTCAGCCCAGGTGACCATGCATTTCTGCTCCTTTTCGGGGAAGGAAGAAGGGATGAAGGAGAAGACATCCCATCAGCAGAAAAAAGCCACTTATTCTGCTGTAAAAGCCTTCAAACGAACCCGACCCAAGTGTGCTGAAACCTGCCTGCCATATATGTACAGCAAATGCAGATGTTGATGGGAGAAGGCAGAAAAGGGGTAGAAATCAGAGACGCAGGGACACAAATGGAAATTCTGCAAGAAACAGGATATTTCTCCAGAATGCCGAGTCTCCTTTCGCCTGGGAAGCACCAGGCAGCTCTCCACTGTACAGAATTACAGCTAATCACTGTTAGAAAAGTCATAGCCAGAAATACGCTCGTGATCAGTGATCTGTAAGGAGCAGCCCAACACATCTAGAACGAGCGCAGGATTTTCCCTCGGGGAGCAGGCTTGGCTTTTTCTACTTAAAACATTTAACGATTGCTCGCAAAGCACCGATCTCGTACTTACTTTCAATAATTCAGCTAAGACCATCTCTCCATAGGCGAGTTAATCCCAAATGCGAGGCGGAGGAGGGGGCCGGACCTGGGAGAACGCTGGCAGGAGCGGCTGGAGCTGCGGGCAGGGACCTGCGAGCGCGGCGCTGTCAGCGGCGGCCGCGGCGCTGCGCCCGCCTGCCTGGGAAAATGGCTNCTGGAGGCTGCGGCTCGTTCCTCTCACCGCAGCATCGTCCGCGCCCGTGCCCTGTGCCTGGCGGCTCGGGGCAGTATCTGGGTGAAAATGCGAGCACAAACCCCCTGAGCGTTGTAGGTGCAGCCCGTGGGTTTTATTCCGTGGCTCTTCTCTGCTGGGGAGGAGGGGAGCTGGGATAGAGCTGCGCAGCTTCCCCTCAGCCAAGCGCCAGCAGCTGCTCCCGGTTCATGGACGTGAGGCCATTGATGTGCAGCTCCCAGCCCCGCGGCTCTGCCCTTGGGCAGCTTTTGGGGCGTCCTGGGGAGCCTCTCCCAGCGCTCCGCCGGCAGCTCCTCGGCCCGGCCTCCCCGAGCATCCCCAGCCGAGCTCCCCGAGCATCCCCAGCTCCCCGAGCATCCCCAGCCGAGCTCCCCGAGCATCCCCAGCCGAGCTCCCCTGCTCTCCTGCTCCGTGCCGGGCTCTCCCTGCCCGCAGCTCCGAGGCTCCTCCGTGCCTGGCTCCGCTCGCCAAGGCAGAACCCCAGCGGCTGCAGGGGGGTCTCGGGCCCTGCGGCCCCCCAGGAGCCTCCCTTGTTCTCTCGAAAATGCATTAACGATGGATTTTAATATCTGTGAGGAGTCATCTGCAGAGCACAAACCGAGGCCCTGCTCATTTCCTGCCCTATTTATGGCACGTATATTTCAAAGCTTGCCCAACGCTTTAAAAACCCCCGTTGTTTATTTATTTAGTGCTAATACAAACAATGTACGTTACCGCAGATACAAAACAAGGGAGATTTCTTTCTCCGGGGAGGATTTCTGCCTCCAAGAGCTGTGCTCTGAGGCTGATCATTTTCTTACCTGTGCTCATCTCAGAGCAGAGACGTTTCCGAGTGGGAGCCGTGTTATGGGTCATGGGCAAATACAATTTGACAAGGAAAGGACGGAAGATGGAGACTCCCTGAAGAACAGCTTTTCCAGAAGGTTGCATTAAATCCTGCTGGCCTTCAGATCTATCAGATGGGTGCTTTTGAAAATAAATAGAAGGTGAAAGTGTTGCTTTGTTACTGGTTGTGTTCTTTGTGGTGAAATACTGCTGGCAGAGAAATTAGATGTCACTGACTGGGGAAACTGGCAAGTAAAGAGATAATGGAAAATAATGTGATTTTAATAAAAGTTTGTATAGAAGGAAAAAAATGCAAAAAATATCATCGTGCTGTATTTAGTGCTGGAAACCAGCCCGAAGCTGAGAGACTCAAATTCCTGAGCACAACAAATCTCTGATCCCATCATTTTACAACACTGGCACAGGATAATTTCTGCACCTTGATTTGCGTGCTGCCAGTGTTCTGTAACGTTGCAGCAGTGGGAGAGTCGAGCACCTCTGAATTCAAGGCTTTTATCTCTGAATGTGTTCCAGGGCCACGGGCACAATACCCGGGGGAAATCCTTTGTTGCAGTGCACTGAGCATCTCCCCACCAGCCCCCGGCTGCCTGCGTGGCTCTGCTGGCTGAGGCTGCAATCCCACAGCAGCCCCAGGCACAGCCCTGCCAGCCCCTGCCCTCCTGCAACCCCCCAGCAATAAAACTGAAAAGAGGAAACAAAAATTATTATCCATGTGTGAAGGAGTGAGGAGGAAATGGGGTCTGGCTGTGTAGGGAGAGAAAAGGGGAATATTACTGGTGTGGCTGTGGATTGATGAAACCTTTTCAAGCAGAGAATGATGAGACTGTAAACCTTGGAGCTAATTCACCTCTTCCTTAAGACGTATTGAAAACGTTATTTGACTAATTCTCCCCTATGGACAAAGGTGTTTCTTGCCAGATCTTAGCCTGGCTGCTCAGGCATGCAAGGCTTTGGGTTTGGGATTGGTGTGGATTTGTGATTGTGTGTGGATTTGGGATTGGTGTGGGTTTGGGATTGGTGTGGATTTGGGATTGGTGTGGATTAGGGATTGTGTATGAATTTGGGATTGTGTGTAGTTTTGGGATCGTGTGTGGATTTGGGATTGGTGTGGGTTTGGGATTGGTGTGAATTTGGGATTGGTGTGGATTTGGGATTGTGTGTGGGTTTGGGATTGGTGTGGATCCCCCAAGCTGCTGTTCCCATCTGTACCAGTGGGCTCTGCTCTGGCTCTGGGTCAGGGTCCAGAAGCTGAGCCAGGGGTCCCTCAGCAAAAGCCCAGGGTGAGGTTGGTGGATGCTCTGCACTCGGGAGATTCCCGGCTCCTCTGGAGTCCCTCTGCAAACGGGGGGAGCTGGAGGTGCCTGCGCTGCCGTGCTGGGATGGCCAGGGGAGGGATGGTGTCTCCCCACTCTGCTGATGCTCTCTGCTCCCCAGATCTCCTCAGGCTGCTGGAAAAAGCAGGTTGTGTCTGTGGGCAGGAGGCTCTGGGGCTGCAGCAGTACCAGGGAGGAGCGTTGTGTTATCACTGTGGGATTCTGGAAGCTGAGGCTTTAAGGGAAATACCACTTATCCCAGGACATGTAATAAGTTTATACATGTTGGCAGTGCTGCTGATACCGAACTCTGCACTCCTTCCTCCTGCAGGAAATTAATTGCTCGCTCATTTCATGCCCATTTACACCCTGAAATGGCTGCAGATTTTTGATTGTGATTTCTTCTCTGGGGTGCATTGTGGTGCTGCCACACTTGCTTTGCCTCCAAAGCTGTTTAATTTAGTTCTTGTGCATCTTGAGCAGGCTGCCTGGCCTGGAAGAGCTGGGGCTGTGGCAGTGGCTGGCAGTCAGAGCCTGCTGGGCTCCCCTTGGAGCAGCTCGCTCTGAACGTGGTTCTCCAGCTCTGCCTGTGCTGTGTGGGCTGGCAGAGCTCCAGGCAGGGCGTGTGTGTCTTGGCCCAAAGCTGGCGGTTTAAGGAAATGCATGGTTCCTAATCTGCCATCAGAAAAAAGCAAATATGCAGGCAATTTAGGAAAGTGAAAGCGCAACCCCCTGGGGAACGCGTAACTCGGGCTTCAGAGGCGTTCTGAACGCAGAGCCGTGTTCTGCCTTAAATCCTGGGCCGCTTGGCATTCTGCTATCTCTGAGCTGGATCAAGAGCAGATGTGTAGACTTTATCTGCTGAGGTTTTCGTGTTCCTCCAAATCCTTCCTGGCTGGCGTCGGAGGCTCACGGAAACTCAGGGGAACGTGAGGAGGGAGCTCGCTCCTGTCTCAGCCCATCCTGCCCGGGGAAGTCTCGAATTTGCTGGCAGTGGGTGCAGGTTGTTGTGGAGGAGGTGATTTGTAACCTCAGCCTGGCCTCTCGGAGCCCACATGGGTGGTTTTGCCATCTCCTGGTGATAAAGGAGAAGAACCTTTTCCTGATCCTTATTTACATTGCCGTGCATGTTATAAGGATGGAAACTAGATTAAATTTTCCCTATTAAAAATGAAAAATGAGAATTTCAGATTTTATCACCTCTTAGAAATAATTCACCAAACCTGGAAAACGGAATGTTTCACTTTTAATCCAGTGACACAATGTGCCCTTTGCATGGAAACGCATTGCTGCAAAATCCATCTGGGGCAGCATCCCACATTCCCGATGTGTTTGATGCTTGTGATGCCTCCAGCCATGGGCACAGTAGGAAGGATTAATCCTACTGATAAGTACTGGTGGATTGTGCCAAATATTTGTCATACATAAGTCAGAGGAATTGTTTGGATGTTGCTATAGGAATTCTCCTCCCCTTGTGCATTGCAACCAGCAGTTACCGTGCTGCTCTGTCACGGAGATGAGCGAGAGGGGGTTGGTGTGGAATCACAGAGGTGTTGGGAAAACAGTGGGATGGTGGGCTCTGGGGCACAGCCTGCAATGGGAACCTGCTGAGATGCCAAACAGAAAGCAGCAGTGGAGGTGCTGGCTGCAGCTCTCCGCTGAGCAGGATCTGGGAGCTGAGCGAGCCTGTGGCTCCCTGGGGAGCACCAGCTCTCCGGAGCTTCCCTCTGGATCACAGCCCAGGAAGGGGTGGATGGATGGCTGGGTGTCACCTCACTGGATTCCGTGTGGGTGGAAGGCTCATCCGTGCAGGGACACTCCATGGAAATGTTCCCGAGCTTTATCCTGCTGCCCTGAAATGCCCTGGCACGCAGCAGGCGCCTCTCCCTGGCAGCCAGGCCCCTGACACGGGCAGCACATCCCCTCCTGTTATGAAATCACCTCATAAACTCTGCAAACCGCCCTGGGGGTGACTGGGACTCGTTATCTCTGTTCCCAGTGCAGCTCTCGCAGCCGCACACATGAAAGGTCTGGGCTTCCTCCTCTCTTATCAGGCACCTGTTGTTGTACCCAGACATTACTCACATCCTTGGAGTCACATCTTGTTTTGCATAATTAACACCAACTGCTTGGTTTCCTTCCTTCCCTTGCAGTTCTGCTCTGTGGCCTTACCTGGCTGTGGAGCCTTCAGGGTTATTTTGGGTTTTAACACAAGCAATGGAAATTTGGGAGCACCAGCTCGGGGAGGACGAGAAGATTTTAGTCAGGTAGAAGGGATGCTCTTTAGGCTTGAACTGGTGCTGCACCACGGTCTGTGGTGGGGAATCCTGTACCAATTCCTTATGAGTGGTTAAAAAAAACCTGAAGCAAACTTAAAGAAAAGTCTGTGCAGCAAATTTGGACTCGGAAAACGGCAAATCACAGAATCCTGGAAGGGTTTGGGTGGGGAGGAACCTTAAAGCCCATCTCGTTCCTCCCCCTGCCATGGGCAGGGACATCTTCCTCTATCCCAGGGTGCTCTGAGTTCTGTCCAGCCTGGCCTTGGACACAGAGAGTATGTAAAGGGTTTTTTTTTTGAGGGTTTGGGTGTTATACTTGTTTACTTTTTGCAATTATATCTGAACTTTAATTCCACCTGAATGCCCTATCTTTTCCTCTTGCTGTTTGGAGTTTTGCTGCTTTGAAGATGTTTTCTGATGAATGTTTGCTGTGTGCTGGCTGTGCCATCATCTCAAAAGCTGATCTCAGTATATCAGAG